AAGACGCAATGCATCCTCACCTATGGTGGAAATGAACGAGACATGATGATCAATTATGCACTCGTTGCCATGAACTTGTTGGTTTGCATCAAAGTGTTGGTGATTCACAACCACAACAACAGCAATATCAATAGCGTTTTGGACAAATTTTATAGACATGCTACGAGGGCATTTGCGTTTGTGGTTGCCTTTCAGATTGTCTTGTGTTTGATTCTGGGATGCAGTGGGATTTCGATTGTTTGGTGTTCGATGGCCGGATGGATCATGAGTCAAAAACGGCAAATGATTCTTTCGTTGGATGAGAATGACGAGGATGATGATGAGAATGATGACGAGCATCATCATCATCATCGCCATGATTCAACGGCTGGTTCGTCCGGCATGACTCATGAGAAGCTGGCCAAAATGGCACAATGGGCAATCCTCTTGGATTTGGGCGCACTCGTCTATTATTCGGTGGTGTCCGAAATTATTACGACCATTGCTCATGGTTGTGCCCTTGTCATGGGGGCTTGTCTCTCCCAACTCGTGAATAAGCATTCCGGTGTTATTACTACTACTAGAACCATCACTAATGGTAGTAGTGAGACTACCCATGGCACAAACGAGGAACCGCTTTTGGAGACCACGAATCAAGGAGAGCGACGTTGAATGAAAAAGGAGAATCATCATCATCATCATCATCAAGTGAACAGCTGCAACGTGACGCAGAGTCGGAATATGAACCGTAGTGTATAGTAAATTAAAATATAAAATGTTGTATGTACAATATATTCCAATCGAAAAAGGGCAAATGTTGATTCTTTTGATTATGATGTTGTGTGGTAGGATATATATATTAGCAAATGTATAGACCGTGTGTATGGAAAGAAGATAGAGAGAAGATAGATCAAGAGGATCAAAAAGTAAAAGTAGAAAGTCTACCATGAAAGAATGAAACGCCAAAGGGCGTCATCATTTCTTGGAATGGGATCCGCCATGGTCTTGACTCGCTTGTGCAATACATTGATATAGACGAGATCTTTTGATTCATTGACAATCACTTGATGGTCCCGATGTTCCGTCACTCGTTGCAAGAATCGTTGCATGTTCAAATTCTTTCCCTCCCCGACATCGGCAGCAACGGCCATGTAATAAATCACACATCCCCATCGTGCACTCTTGATATTCAACAAATTGGCCAAGGGACAAGCACCATTGTCCAAAATGTCCGTCTCCAATATTGGAATCCCCAAGGAAAATGGCAAGACTGGGGAACCAAAATACATGATACCCTTATGAATCCAAAAGGTAAAGTCGACAATGACATGAAAGCCGTCGGAATGAATGGACCCATGCATCGTGCTGCAAGGACTGTGCAATAGATATTCACCCTCGTCGCAGACCCGAGGAATCGCATGGACAATCAATTCCTTTTCGGGAGTTTTAGGAGAGGGACTGTATTGGTTGCAAGGCATCAATTTCAATTTGCTCGATTCCCCACCCCTAATACTATTGTTAGTATCATCACTGCCACAACTGCCACTGCCACTGTCACCACTAGTATTATGATGACTGTCCAAAACAATCCAAACAGGTCCATTCGCCATCTTGGGCATGCAACACAAGGTTCCACGTTGGTTGGAATCGGGTTGTCTTGGTTTTGGATTCAATCCCCCCACAGTCAGCGCAATTTCTTCTCCCCACATGACCATGTCACCATCCGTCCCACCGACGACCTTCCAAGTTTGATTGGGAGTGCACGGCCGCAAGCCTATCGTGTACAAGTATTGCAACCGGCCGCCGCCATCAGAATGATGATTGGCATCCGACGGTTCGTGGGCATGTCGCGTGTGTCGTCCCAGAAACGCCTTGTTGCCCCGTTGATAATCAAAGGACCAAAAGTAATACTCCTGACCGTACCGTAGGTTTTCGCTGGACGTCAAAAACTGGTCGAAAGATGATGATTTGGCACAAGACACAAAGAGGTCCTGTTGAATGGCACCACCATCATCGTCTCGTGAACAAAGGATTTTGACTCGAAGATATTGGGGAAGAAGCTTTTGCAAACGTTGGCTGCAGCTGGAGAGTCGAGTTCGTTCGGCTGGGTTGAGCATGGAATTGGCAATTTGAAGCAACAGTTCTGTTGGAAGTTCTTCCAAGTCGGAGGAGGATGTAGGTGTGGCGGCAGTTTTCTTGTTGGCAATCATGGCTGGCTGGTGATGGTGGGGTTTCTTTCCGAGGCAGGCTTTAGTGATGATGTTGCTGGTTATGACGAGGGTAGGTTGGTGGTTGCCTTCAATTTTGAGAGGCTTGGAGCAAGACGATATGATAATGCGCAGTTGGAACGTTCCGCGTAACAATACTTCAAGGATTGTCAATGACGGAAGAAAGAATTTTATCGGAAAACCCAACAAGAGAGGAAGAAGAAACTGAAAACGTGGACGGACGTATGATGTCCTCGAGATGACGTAGCATTGAAAATGTCAAAATGTGTCGCATGTGACAGACATCCTTCACCTGCATCATCAATCATCACCATCAGGTTCTTGTTTTATGGTGGTGGGGTCTTTAGTGAATTTTTAGCCAATGAGAGTTAGTCGATTCACTAAAGACGAGTCTATTATTAGTGGTATGAGCCAATCACAGCTCTCTATCACTAATGATGGATTCGACTAACTCTGTTCCACACTAAATTAGTACTCTCCACAGACTTCAAATGATGTTAGGGGGGATGTTAGGTCCAAGCTCCATACGGCCCTAGCAGTTTTTCTTTGCCTTATCAAACGACTAAAGACCTTGTCTTAAGGACCAACCTTAGCCCTCGATCATGAGGAAGCGCTGTAGATCCCCTAGGATGACTTTGAGCTAACCTGAAGAATGGGATGGTAGGTTGGCACCAACTGAAATTGACTGGTACTACATGAGGTAATAGATAGATCCAACGATAGAAACTGATTTTTCAATCTTTCAGATAGAGCACTACTATGTATTGTGGAGTATCGTTCAGACTTCTCTGATGGCAGAGTGAAATCAACTGCTGATACCGGTATAGATAGGTACAACTACTAGTAGTACTACTTGGTAGTAGTAGTCTCTTCACCTTTGGAATCAAGTCATTGTCTCAAACTAGTGCAAAAAGGTTGATTGTATTGCCATCAGAGTAGAATATACAATACCCGACTCTGAAAGCATCATCTATGACTATACTGCATCAGACTTTCCTATTGCGGCTTTGGCCAGCAAGGAACCATGCACTGTTTCTATCTATGTTTTCGCCTGTGAATCTTACTCAAAACCGGTTGATTCTTGCATGTCTTCAATCGTGGAACACCCTTTGCGATGAAATCGGGCTTTGTGGTGGCCCTTATTCATCTTGCTTGGTTCCCAAAATGTTGAGTCCATTGAGGACACCGCCGATTATCTACCGAATCCACTACTGGCTGGTTCTCGCAAGCCTCGCATAAGTAAGCGTTTCAATAGTACCATAGCAATAGTATCAGCTGCTAGAGTCAAGCAGTATTCATGCCTTCGTTCACCTTGCTTCCAAATGGTTTGTTGTCGACACCAGATCGGGCTGCCGTCTTCACACTGACATCACTTTGTTCATGGTTCCAATCTTGAAGTATTCAAGACACCGATAATCGCGGTGCGATGAGCCTCCAAGTTTTGATTTAATCTGCGATATGGAGGGATGTAAGATATTGTTATTGGCTTAGAGGTGCTTGGACATCATTTCAATACTGCTGTAGGCGGTTCAGACGCATCGATTATCACATCAAACATTCATGGATTGTTACCTCATTCTAAATCTGTCTAAATCCTGGCTAACGCCAGGATCATAGCGTATGCCATCTTGCGACGCCATGCGTGAAGCCAGCACTGTGTTGTACAGCCCCTTCATTGCAATCCTATTGCTTTCTCCTCTTTTCTTCTCTCTTCGTTTTTTCATTTCTCTTCCTTTCTTCTTCCTTTCTTCTTCCTTTCTCCCCTTCTTTTCTCCCCGGGGGATCTAGTATAAACTGCTCCACCAGCATAAAATAAAAACCCCATCAGGTTCTTGTTTTATGGTGGTGGGGTCTTTAGTGAATTTTTAGCCAATGAGAGTTAGTCGATTCACTAAAGACGAGTCTATTATTAGTGGTATGAGCCAATCACAGCTCTCTATCACTAATGATGGATTCGACTAACTCTGTTCCACACTAAATTAGTACTCTCCACAGACTTCAAATGATGTTAGGGGGGATGTTAGGTCCAAGCTCCATACGGCCCTAGCAGTTTTTCTTTGCCTTATCAAACGACTAAAGACCTTGTCTTAAGGACCAACCTTAGCCCTCGATCATGAGGAAGCGCTGTAGATCCCCTAGGATGACTTTGAGCTAACCTGAAGAATGGGATGGTAGGTTGGCACCAACTGAAATTGACTGGTACTACATGAGGTAATAGATAGATCCAACGATAGAAACTGATTTTTCAATCTTTCAGATAGAGCACTACTATGTATTGTGGAGTATCGTTCAGACTTCTCTGATGGCAGAGTGAAATCAACTGCTGATACCGGTATAGATAGGTACAACTACTAGTAGTACTACTTGGTAGTAGTAGTCTCTTCACCTTTGGAATCAAGTCATTGTCTCAAACTAGTGCAAAAAGGTTGATTGTATTGCCATCAGAGTAGAATATACAATACCCGACTCTGAAAGCATCATCTATGACTATACTGCATCAGACTTTCCTATTGCGGCTTTGGCCAGCAAGGAACCATGCACTGTTTCTATCTATGTTTTCGCCTGTGAATCTTACTCAAAACCGGTTGATTCTTGCATGTCTTCAATCGTGGAACACCCTTTGCGATGAAATCGGGCTTTGTGGTGGCCCTTATTCATCTTGCTTGGTTCCCAAAATGTTGAGTCCATTGAGGACACCGCCGATTATCTACCGAATCCACTACTGGCTGGTTCTCGCAAGCCTCGCATAAGTAAGCGTTTCAATAGTACCATAGCAATAGTATCAGCTGCTAGAGTCAAGCAGTATTCATGCCTTCGTTCACCTTGCTTCCAAATGGTTTGTTGTCGACACCAGATCGGGCTGCCGTCTTCACACTGACATCACTTTGTTCATGGTTCCAATCTTGAAGTATTCAAGACACCGATAATCGCGGTGCGATGAGCCTCCAAGTTTTGATTTAATCTGCGATATGGAGGGATGTAAGATATTGTTATTGGCTTAGAGGTGCTTGGACATCATTTCAATACTGCTGTAGGCGGTTCAGACGCATCGATTATCACATCAAACATTCATGGATTGTTACCTCATTCTAAATCTGTCTAAATCCTGGCTAACGCCAGGATCATAGCGTATGCCATCTTGCGACGCCATGCGTGAAGCCAGCACTGTGTTGTACAGCCCCTTCATTGCAATCCTATTGCTTTCTCCTCTTTTCTTCTCTCTTCGTTTTTTCATTTCTCTTCCTTTCTTCTTCCTTTCTTCTTCCTTTCTCCCCTTCTTTTCTCCCCGGGGGATCTAGTATAAACTGCTCCACCAGCATAAAATAAAAACCTCGACGCACCACGAATTTCCGTTTCAAAACCAAACTTCACAAACATCACAGCTACAATACCAGCTACACTACAGTACCGGACACCCTTCACTTAATAGAGGTCGACATACAACCAAAGACAGACACATGAGCACCAGGTACCGGTACCTGAGTACAAGGTACCTGGTATCCACCATATGACTTCGTGCAAACCTTGGAACAGATTGTGCACCAAAAATAGAATGATTTTCTAATTTTAATTGAAGTATTTTTTAACTAGAAGTTCGATTTGATGACATTCCAACCACAACCGCCCCGAGCTTATTTGACGACTATTTTGCAGATCCCTTATCGGAATTAGAGATGCGACACCAGTCGTAAATGGTACTGGTACAGCGCTTCGACGATTTGGCTTTTGCAATCAATTTCTCTCCAGAACGTAGCTCCATGGTGGTTCCATCCTCCATATCAATCCATTTGACAGCAGAAAAAGTTGAACCAACATTTGTATGCTGTGTAATGCTGCCATTCTTGTAGACAACCACATAACGTTGATTCCAAAGAAAGGGAGGCCGGCGGCTTTGCATGCGTAACCAGCCCTTGTGAACCACCTGGTTGGATCCCTGTGGTATCCCTTGCAACTCTTGCTGAATGGAGGAGTCGATCTTTTTGTTCATCATGTCTTCCAAGCGTGTAATTACTGCTCTGTCAGCACTTGTGGATGATAGTTGCTTCCGCCCTACTTGCCCTTGCTTGTCCAGCTCCGTTTGAGGACTACCGATTGATGGCGCCAACGGTACCGAAACAGCAATCTTGTGCTTCGTTTCTTTGCCTCTTCCCTTTTGAGTATCCTTGCTTCCATCTCGAGCTGCTGCTGCCAACATCGCAATTTCCTTTTCCCTTTTTTCCATCGGCATCTCCATGCATTTTGATCCAAACTTTTGAAATAGTGGCTCCACATCTGGATGCACATATTCATATTCGGCCCCATCCTCGCTGATCGCCTGGACAAGACCACACCGCTCAAATTCTTCGTCTTCAATAAGTGAGCCAATGCCTTTATACGCCATTTTAATTCTATTGAGATGGTTCTTTTCCATGCCTGGACCTTCATCAGAAGCTGCGCTATCCATTTCATCTGTGAATTGTTCCAGCAACGTTTCAGCAAAGGTATCCTCTCCGCCTTCGCCGCCCATTCCATTAACCAACAACCCTTGCATCTCCGAAAATAAATTAGAAGTCTCTTTCAGTTCTTCTTCAGCCTCACTTAATGATGGGAGGGGGAGACCGAACCCACGGCCCACTGCCAGTCCTACTTGGAAAATTTTCAGTCCAATGAGAATAGCAGGCCCATATGTCTTGATCCATTCAGTGGGCATCTGAATATCATACCCAATCGCATTCCCATCCATTCCCACAACAGGTTGTAGGGATAGTGGACAAATGAAGCACAACCTTGCTTTGGTAGTGAGAAAATTATCCTTCAAGAAAGTACTTGGATTTCCAGCTTTCTTCATTGTTATCAAAAAGCGAGAGAAACCCTTCTCTTGACTGACCTGTTCGGCCGCTGGAAGAATCACAAAATACTTTGGTTGCCACTTCTTTCCCTCAAAGATTGCTTTCAACAGTTTGTTGGCTGCTTTTTGGTGGCTGATGACACACTTCAGTGATTTGTGAATTTGTGCAAAATTGGATGTCATAATTTCTCTACTCTCCAGAGCTATTTGCTCAATTCGTCTCAATGTTGCTGAATTTGATTCCACACGATCAGGTTGGAAGTAGTCATGAGCTAGGGCTTCGTCCATAGTCAGCCGATCTGTGGGTTCGCGGAGAAGAATCTGCTCAAGCAAATCACGAGCATTTGCATCCTTTACTTTGAGCTTCAAAATCCTCTTCATCGCTTTATTGTTCCAGTCGAATAGCTGGCTCATCACATTACCATCTGTGATATCGTTCTCACTGTTCATCTTGAAAAGAGACTCCTTTGTCAAAAGCTCAAACAACAGCACACCAAATGACCAAACATCCAGACTCGGATGAGCACGCACCAGATTGTAGGGTGGCACCTCCATTTTAATTGGTGTTGGTGTTTCCTTCACAGCATCCTTTTGTCTCTTGCCATGAGTGGTCACAATGCTCTGGACAATTCCAGTGGCCAAAACAATGGAGACAGCAGCAGGAGGATCAGTGGGTGGAGGGGCTGCTTCCTTTACTTCCACTGAAACATGAATACCACTAGCTTCCGGAGCAATAACTGCATGCTTCTCTTCCATGGCTGCGGCGGCATCAACGAGTTCTGAAGCAGCAGCCGTGTCTCTTTCATCTACAGCAGAGAGAACCTCCCTTTCCTTGACCTTGCCCTTGGACTTGTCCTTCGTTTTTACTTCTTGCGTCTCGTCCCAAAAGGCACGAACTACAAAGTGATGCTTTTCTTGGCCAGTTGTGGTCAAAACCTTCCTCTTATTTTTCTCCTCTTCGCTCGCTGCTCCTTTCTCAACATACTCCCCATACTTTTTTACCTCAGTTTCAGTTTTAAGTCTATATATCATCTCCGGAGGAATAACACCCGAAGAAAACTTTGACCCAATGATATCACCTACTCTTGTCGATGCATCCAAATCAATCAGTTTCATACGATGATTTGTTCTCACCACATTCAACATCTTTATGTCACCATGGACAATGCCCTCCAGGTGTAAATGCTTCAATGCCTCTCCAACTTCTGTCATCAAACTGCGGATGGCAATTGGTGTGGGCCGCTCACTTCGAAAGATTGTGTCCAAGTTCCGATCTCCATTAGGCATCACCAATACGTTGCAGTATTCCTCTGCAGAGACACCGCCCTCCTCAAGAAAAGCCTGACGTAAACCATTTTCTGGCACCAGCGAGTCCTGTAGCGATTGGACCAATGCACTATTTTTTTCTTTATGATGGATTCGGATACAACCAACAACATACTTCGAATTCAAACTATAGTGCTTGCGACAATCAATTTCTCGGCGAAACTGATTCTTATTCCGCATCAGCTTTAGAACCACATCGCCACCAATTTCCGCCAAACAAAAGTTAACAAACTCTTCTTCGGAAATCAGCTTGGTTTTGTCCACATCTGCGCGTTCGAACAAACAGTTTATGTTTTTGTCGTCATGAGGAATGAGCTCTATCTTCCTCAATATTTCTTTGAACCCTTTCTCGTCTACTTTGTCGCCTTCATACGTTTTATACTTCTCTTGGAAGTACTCCACCATCTTGGCATCCTTTGCCTTGACAACAACACAAGTTGCAGACTGATGAATGGGTGGTCCTTTTTCAATATTGTATCGGCCGAGAAAGAACAGTCGCTCCTCAAACACTGTTCGGATGTGTCTAGGTGCAACCGACTTTGCAACACGCCCAGAATGATCTTTAGTGTAGGCGAGTTGTTGGACTGTTTTCATATCGGCCTTCTCTTTCAGATAGGTGCACAACTCGATCACAGTTGTGTTGTCTTTGTCATCAACATTGTTCTTCAGAAATTGCACCCATCCATTGCGTTCAGGAATCGAAAGCAGGTTTTTTCTACCTTCTCTAATAGAACGGATATAGTCTACCCTGAGTTTCTCAAGAACTCTTACATCTTCGCCCCAGTTCTCCACCAACTCAGATCTCTTTATTGGGTTGGAGGCATAGAGATCAATAATTTTGTCCCATTGAATCAAATACTTTCTTTGATCCTTGCCAAGTTGTGTGTACAATCGGATGTGAATAGCTGGATTTACACTAGGAATGCACAACGATTTGAGTTTTTTGCATTCTCCTATGGCATCTTTTCCGACAACAGCCAGGTCAGAAGGGACGCAAAATTTCTCAAGTTCAGGACAGTTGCAAAAGGCTTCATTTCCAATCGTCTCCAAAGCTTTTGCCTCACTCAAATTGACTTCTTTCAGATTGTTACATTGTGCAAAGGCTTGAGCTTCAATGATCCTCAAATTGGGTGGGCACTTGGAAACATGAAAAGGATCCCCCATTTGGCAACATTTGTAAAAGGCTCTTTCTCCAATCGTTTCCAGAGCTGTTGCCTCACTGAAATCAACATCTTCTAGCTTCTGACATTCCTCAAAGGCACTCCTTCCAATGGTCCTTACATTGGATGTGCAATTGAAAACAAGAAGGGTCGTGCACTGATAAAATGACCTCTCTCCAATTGTTTCCAGCGCGGTGGCCTCGCTGAAATCAACTTCATTTAGAGTTTCACAACCCTCAAAGGCTTGATTTCCAATAATCTTGACGTTGGATGGGCACTTGAGAGTACAACCAAGACTAGGGCATTTGAAAAAGGCCTTTTCTCCAATTGCTTCCAAAGCTGATCCCACAGCAAAATCAACTTGAAAAAGAGCTTTACAATCTGCAAAGGCGCCATTCCCAATAGTCTTGACCTTCGATGGACACTTGAAAGTAGCGACATTATTGCAAATACAAAAGGCTTCCGCTCCGATCGTTTCTAAAGCTGTTGCCTTGCTGAAATCAATTTCTTCTAGCTTTTCACATTCCTTAAAGGCGCTCCTTCCGATGATCCTTACATTCGATGGGCACTTGAAATCAAGGAGGGTCGTGCATTGGTAAAAGGATCTCTCTTCAATTCTTTCCAAAGCAGTTGCTTCATTGAAATCAGCTTCCTTCAGATTGAAACACAACGCAAAGGCCCCCCTTCCAATAGTCTTGACGTTGGATGGGCATTTGAAAGTAGTAAGGCGTATACACTTGGAAAAGGCTGAATCTCCAATTCTTTCCAAAGCTGCTGCCTGGCTGAAATCAACTGCTTTCAGATTTTCACATTCCCTAAAGGCTTCCTTTCTAATAGTCTTCACAGGCCCACGCACAATCAATTTTGTCATGGTCTTTCGGATGTCCAAGGGTATTTCTTGATTTTCCTCTTGGTAAATAAATTTGATCTCTGACCTCACAGCATCTGGATTGAAGTAACGGTGACCAAGCACTTTTCCAATAGTCAACCGATCTTCTGCCTTCCGGAGAAGAATCTGCTCCAGCAAATCACAAGCATAGGCATCTTTTACTTTGAGCTTCAAAATATTCTTCATGTCTTCATCAGTCCAGTCGAATAGCTGTCTCATCGAATCTCCATCTGTGATATCATTCTCACTGTTTATCTTGAAAAGACACTCCTTTGTCAAAAGCTCAAATAACAGCACACCAAATGACCAAACATCCAGACTCGGATGAGCACGCACCAGCTCGTAGGGCAGCTCGTCCATTGCAAGGGGCACCAACTTCTTCTCCAACTCGTTCTTTCCCTCGAACGCCGCGTCCCTTGTTTTCACTGCTTGCCTCTCCTCCCAAAACGAACGAACTACAAAGCAGCGCTTTCCTTGGCCAGTTGTGAGCAAAACCTTCCTCTTATATTTCTCCGCTTCGCTCGTTGCTCCTTTCTCAACATAATCCCTAAACATATCCAGCTCCTTTCGATTTTTCAGCTCATAAATCATCTCGGGGGGGAGTACACCGGAAGAAAACTTCGACCCGATGTACTTACCAACTTTTGTCGATGCATCCAAATCAATCAGTTTCAGCCCATGATTTGTTCTCACCACATTCAACGTATTTATGTCACCATGGACAATGTCCTTCATGTGTAAATGCTTCAGCGCTTCTCCAACTTCTGTCATCAAACTGGTGACAGCATTTGGTGTGGGCCGCTCACTTCGAAAGATTGTGTCCAAGTTCCGATCTCCATTAGGCATCACCAATATATTGCAGTATTCCTTTGCCGAGTCCTTCTCCAGAAATAAGCCATTTTCTGGCACCAGCGAGTCCTGTAGCGATTGGACCAATGCACTATCGCTCCATTCATCATGGGAACGGAAACTACCTAGAACATACTTCGAATTCAAACCATTCTCCTCACGACAATCAACTTCTCGGCGAAACTGATCCTTATTCCGCATCAGCTTTAGAACCACATCGCCACCAATTTCCGCCAAACAAAAGGCAACGAACTTTTCTTCGGAAATCACCTTTTCATTTGGGCGGTTGACTGCGCGTTTGAACAAATAATTGATGTTTTTGTCGTCATGAGGAATGAGCTTTATCTTCCTCAATATCTCTTTGAACCCTTTCTCGTCTACTTTGTCGCCTTCATACTCTTTATACTTCTCTTGGAAGTACTCCACCATCTTGTTATCCTTTGCCTTGATAACAACACAAGTTGCAGACTGATGAATGGGTGGCTCTTTTTCAATATTGTATCGGCCGAGAAAGATCAGTCGCTCTTCAAACACTGTTCGGATGTGTCTAGGTGCAACCGACTTTGCAACACGCCCAGAATGATCTTTAGTGTAGGCGAGTTGTTGGACTGTTTTCATATTGGCCTTCTCTTTCAGAAAGGCGCACAACTTTCTCATGTATGGCTCGTCCTCGTCACCTGCAGTGTTCGCCAATAATTGCACCCACCCATTGCGTTCCGGAATCGAAAGCAAGCGCCATGATTCCCCAATAATGGAAGAAATGTAATCCGCTCTTACTTTTTCAAGAACTCTTACATCTTCGCCCCAGTTCTCCACCAACTCGGATCTCTTTATTGGATTGGAGGCATAGAGATTCACAATATTATCCCAATAAATCAAATGCTTTTGATCTTTGTTGAGCTGTGTATACAATCGGATGAGGATGGCTGGATCCCGACTATGAATCTCCAAAGATTGCAGTGAGCTACATTCATTCAATACATCTTTACCGATAGCAGTCACGTGGGAAGGGATTGAAAGCTCCTCAAGATTGCGGCAATCGATAAAGGTTCCATCCCCAATCATTTCCAAACTTGTTGCCTCACTTAAATCAACTGTCTCCAGGTTTTTACATTCAGCGAAGGCTTTGGCTCCAATGTAGATGACGTTGTCTGGGCACTTGAAAGAAGCAAGGCTAGGGCAATTCTGAAAGGCTTCTTTTCCAATCATTTCCAAAGCTGTTGCTTGGCTGAAATCAATTTCTTTTAAATTTGCACATCCATAAAAGGCCTTCTCTCCAATGGTCTTTACAGGCCCGCGCACAAACAACTTCGTCATGGTCTTTTTCATGTTTTCTGGAATTTCTTGATCTTCACGATCGTACACAAATACGGCTCTATCTTTGCTTTCTTCGACACTCGTTCTTTCCTCATTCGAGGATTCTTCTTCTTGTTCCTCCTCGTCGTCGCTCATCTTCTGAATTAGCGAAATATCATCTTCATTTGATACCATCTATTCGGTTTTATCCTCTATTGTGTGGTACATGTATTGTGGCGATCAATTGTCAGTTTAAATTATAGTGTGATCCGTATTGCGATGATGACGGTATAATGATTGTGATGACTGATGACTGCATACAAATACTGCATCTCCTCTATTTTCCGGTGAAATACAGTACTGTATGACACGTGGACTGGCGTACCGGTACGGTGCAGACTTTTACTGCAGGTGTTGGCTAACGAAGGACGGACTGATCGGAACGCCCAAGTGCGTATCCAAAGAAGGTACAGTAGCAGGACAGTGGAAAGCTACGTACCAAAGAGGTTGTGAAAGAAGTTGGTGAATGAGCTGCAGCTCAGTTGCAGCTCATTCCTTTTGAAAAGACTGCTCTGTATTTGACAGAGTGAATTTGAAGTCTAGGAATAGATAGTTATTAAGATTACCCTAGTCCCACCTCACCCTTGGAGGAAACCAGCGCTTGCGCTGGGGGATTGGGGGCCAACAGCTAGTAACAACTGTCAGCCCAAAAACATCATTGAAACTCTTTTAGGCCCAATTGGAGTCTGCGAAATCCAAAGCAATTGAGAAGGATGAGCAATCGCTGCAGGTGTTGGCTAGCGAAGGACGGACTGATCGGAACGCCCAAGTACGTATGCAAAGAAGGTACAGTAGCAGGACAGTGGAAAGCTACGTACCAAAGAGGTTGTGAAAGAAGTTGGTGAATGAG